AAAGAGCGTCGTAGCTTTTCCCTTCCCAAAACACAAGAATATAGTGCAGTACCCGTGTCCTCTGAACCAGATACGAAGGAATAGAAAAATAATAGAAAATCGCTAGAGAAAGTGATGAAACTTATGGTGAACTGCATGGGAAAATCAGATGCCCCTTAGGCGAGTTGATTCATTTTCTTTATACCTGGAGTGAATTCCAATTAGTTATAGATCATAGTCATATCTTTGCTTGTGTTAATGAATTGTTTGGGAGAGAAATGGGAGGAAACACTGAAACAGCGTTGTTTAAGATGGGGAAAATCCACGTTATGTTCCATTTTTTTATAACAGAAATTGTTACTGTTACTTTAATAGTAAAAGTCTAATTCCATTTTTGCCATCAGGGTAGGTTTCGTTGTTAGCCTTCTGCTCGTGACAACTACGTTTTTTGGGTTCAAATATACAAATCAGTTGTAGTAGATGAAATATAATGGCAGCGTGAATCCCTTTGGCTCCACCTTTTGTAAATAACTAAATATCAATTTTCAAATGGATTGCTGTGCTAAAACAAGCAAGCAATCACTCGACAAAGAAACTAGACGAAACAAGGAATAAAACAGGAAATAAAAAGTAGATATTGCCTTGACCGCTCGGGCCATGGGATTGGGCATGCACTATAAATGGACCACATTGTAAACTATGGATTATTAGTGGAACAAAATACCTTGTAAGTCCAGTAATACCTTTGGAATGCAATCTATAGGTTTCAGTGAGAGGAGCATAATTTAGAAAATGAGGATCTATTTAATAGTTAGAGTAAAAATTAGGTGTATGGTAAATAAAAATGTATTGGGCACTCATTTGTCTGTAGGAAAAAAAACAATAAAGGTTCAGATAAGTTGTACCTGCGATTGGCAGAGCTAAATAAAAGAGCATAGTAAATGCCTAACGTTATGTTAGGTGGGCTTCGCAGTAACGTAATCCTGAATAATTGAAGTTGCTTTCTGGAAGGTTTTTGTAGGATTCACTTGCCATGGTCCCAACAACAGCTAGATCTGCATATTTAACACAGCACTTTTGAGACAATGGTAAAGCAGGACCTGTAATAAAAGCCTGATTTTCTGAAACATGGGGAATGATGCATTCATGCAAAACAGTAAAATTAGGTTAAAACTTGACATTTAAGGCGTCACGTACCAGCTCTTCTGTAGCAGCAGGTCAGCACCTGGCTCTGTCACAAGCTAAATTTTTTGGTTTTGTTTTTCCCTTTTAGTTGAACAAACTTTTTACTGTTTTATTTTCATCTAACTTTATAATGTAAATTGCACGGCTTGCTACATGCTACTTTCAGATTCCCCTACAGTGCCTTGTTTTTATTTAGGAGCATTAATTTTAGAATGAAAAATGTTTCTTTACCTGTCAGTTTTCGCTAACATTTTTAATACTATATAATACCTCAATATATTTTGTTTCAATTCATTAATTTGTTTTGATCAAAATTATTTTCAAATGACTTTTTTATTTTATTTTTAATGATATAACAACTGAAAAAAAAAATGTTTTCGATAAAATTGATTTTAAAAAAATTCATTCTGGCAACTTAACTTGTAGGTAAATATTTTTTTAAAAAAAATCTTAATCTTAAAAAATTATTTCCACAACTTTTTAAACACGTACTTTTTCAGAAGAGTTTTCGACAAGTTACTCACGCACATTTTATCAAAAACAAAACAAACAAAAAATGATTTGTTGGAATTTGGGTGGATTGGCTTTTGTAGGGTATTGTTTATTGTTTATTGTTTATTATGAAAAGATAAGGGATGATGGAGAAATTTGTTGGTTACGGAGGACAATAGGGAGGAATGAAAGGGGCGAAATCGTTATAGTTTGTTGCAGAATGAGATCACCAATGAGAAAGCCTATGCTTGCTGGGCTTATTATGTTTGTTGTTGAGATCCTGCTATGCTATTGCTAGCTGCTGACTCAATGAGAATTGCCACTATCACTATGTTCCTATGATGTCAATATCCAACCAACGAGATACCTGTTTCCTGAGCTTGGCTGTAAGATTTTTTCTTATGCATGCACTATGTTCCTAACTATTTTGATGGGATTTCTGTTATATTTACACACCTATCAAATAATGATAATTAATGTAAAGTAAATCAAACTTTATTAAAAACCAAAAAAAAAGCAGGATATTTTTTTTTAACTTATCTAAAAATATATTAGTAATGCAAAATACTTTTATATGATTATTTAATATATTGATAATTAATGTATGGTAAGTTTTTTCTTTTTAATGATAACTATTTTAAAAGATATATTTGAGACTATTTTTTATTGAATTATGTGATTTTAATTTCTATAATCATGATAAGGTTAAAATATTTTTTTAATCTTTATAGTTTTACTTATCTTATATTTTAGTCTTTGTAGTTTAAAATACATTTTTTAGTCTTATACTTACATTTTTAATCTTTTTTAATCTCTCATTAGTTGTCAGTTAAAAAAAACTTTACATTGACAGTGTATAAATGATTAACTCTTATAATAGAGTTAATCATTCATACACTATCATTGTAAATTTTTTTACACTGACAACCAATCATATCTTTTATATTATTTTATTTTATTATTATTTCATTAAATAAGTAATTGATATGACACTATTAAAATATATGATTGGTTGTCAGTATAAAAGAAATTTATACAGTATATAAATAATTAACTCTTAGAATATTAGTGCATGCTATTGTATGAGAAGTTATATTTGTAGAATTAAAAGAAAGTAAGATAAGATACCTGGATGAAGGTGAGAACTAAGAAGCTCGAGGAGGAGAGATTTACCAAGCAAATCAGTAATATCGTCGATTCCTCGGTCTAAGCGGAGACTAGAAAAGAAACCAGACGCAGTTATTTTTACCTTAACTATGGCTGTAACCTTCACTGTGCTCTTCTCTGTTATCGAATCTGTGCCTGTCAAAGTTGCACAAGCGTTAACGTTGCGAGAAACCAACACAAGCTGTTTTTGCCTCTGCACTTTCTTCCCCAACCATACTGGAAGAGAAACAGATGCACCACTCACACTCTGAACAAATGGCCTCTGCAGAAACAACAGCCTCTCCTTGCTGTGTTGTGATTGATGCAACTTTATCATCATCTTTCTCCTCCCCTTATGTTTTATGGCTCAAAATATGCTAAATAAATAACCTATCTTTTTATATATATAATATATTTTTTCCTCCGTCCTTTCCTCTCTCAGCTTTATGCTCCTCTTGCAAAACAATTTTTAACCAATCTTAACATAAAATTAGTAAATAAACATGTAAAAAAAACACAAAAATTAAATATAATTTATTAATATTTTTTCTAATTAAAATAAGAAGTTTACCTCAATTAATATATATTAATTAAATATAAATATATATTATTGAGGTGAATCTTCACTTTTGGTGGAAGGATAATACCAACCTCATTTATAGAAGTGTGGTTATCCTTTTTTTCATTAAAAAATTATATTATCATATAATAATAATAAAGAAAAAGTCTCAGTTAAATGTTAAGCTATATTTTATTTTAAAATGACAGTCATATTAATTACATGAAAAAGTTGTAAAAATATTTTTAAAGTTAACTATTTAATTATCATAATATATA